AAGAGCATAAGAGTAGAGAGAGAGAGATCTGAACTACAAATCCAGAGAAGATGTTGAACTCTCTTGCTTTACTTATTTCTTTATTGTTTCTCTTGCTATTACTATCTTTAAAGCATTATTTAAACCATTATGACTTTGTCTTTCATGAATATGTTTGAGTAGTCATCTCTTGTTAGATTTAGGTTTCTCATTAAGGTTGACTCATGCATTGAATGAACCATCACTAGGGTGTTTAAAATATAGTTCTTCATCTAGTCTTCATAAATGCTAAAGTTAAGGATTGATCACCCTTATCTTTGATTTTAGGATCATTATGGACAAGTGAGAACTTGGCAATTACCTGAAATCTAAGTTAATTTAGTGAAGACTAGAGAACCGCTCCAAACTTGTTACTAGAGCTCGCTGGAAGCAATATCGTTCGACGGATAATCATCTTGTCGACCGATATAGCAAGGAGGCATCAATCGATATTTCCATTGAACATCGATCGATACATTCTTACGGTCATCGAACGATAGTTGTTGACCCGAAATCCACTAGATGCTAATTCTTCAGATTAAAATCTTAAAATTTTGAATCCAGAACTATGAACAATAAAAACCCTTTATAACTTGCATGTTTGTCATACCTGATAAAATACCTAAGTCTAACTAATTTCTTTCCTCTTAACAAACCAAATCAATCAATCGAGCAATTACTTGCTCATCTTCTAAGTTACTGTTTAAAACTTGCCGTCTAGCTTTATTTCAAAGACTAAATAATCTATTGTGTAATCCTAGAGTCTCTGTGGATTCGATTCCTAAGTACTAAAATTGAATCTCTTTTGATGAGAGTAATTCACTCCTTAGGGTAATTTGAGTGATATCATCAGGACACACCAACACTCGACCCTAACATGAGACCCAAAAGAGGAGGTCATACCACAAGGAGAAATACCACGATTAGAGGAGATCTGTTGTGAGAAAATCAGACTTGGATGTTCTTATCAAGAGTTTTCTTGCCTCTAAATTTCATAGGCCTATTGTTATAGACTCAAGAACATCAGACCACATGATTAGTGATCCCGTATTGCAATAGAATGTAAGACCACACTCCGGAAAAGTTAGTGTTACTAATAGATATTGCCGTTAGATGAATTTGAGAACTAGAGTTGTTTAGTAATCAGTCCAGAGGTTTCTTGGAAAAACATGAGACTTATCACCAAACCTCTCGTGCTTACACTCTTCAGCAAAATGGAATATCTGAACGCAATTATCGACATTTAGTGGAGTTTGAAAGAACTATTTATAGAGGATGGTTTCATGTATGCCAAATATCCAAGGAAGAGAAGGTCAACCACCAGACCATGCTTGGAAGAGGTGGAGATACATGAAGAGTTTGTTGAAAATCATCAGCTTCAAAGCAACAACTGCAAAAGTAGTGTATCAAAAGTAAACCCAAGAGGATGGATTCAAGCAACCAAGACCCACCATTGTATGCTAACCAATCTATTGGACGACACCATTGTAGATCAAGTGGAGGTTAATGAAATTGCGCAAATAAAGAATGTCCAACAAAAGCAAACCTTTACACCCTTATTTGAATTGCCTGACCTACAAGAAAAGTGGGAAAGTATAAAAATAAATTCTACAGTTCCCGTGTAGCAGAAGCTACGGTAAACATGGATTCATTGATACGAAAATATAACCAAAACAAGTGTTCTTCAAAATTTAACACTTCCTTTTTATCTTTTAGCCTTCACATTAGCTTTTTTTTTTACATCAAAAGGTTGATCTATTACTCAAAGATTGAATGGTCTAGGAAGCCAGACCGAAATAGAACAGCCTACATACAAAAGATCTCGATAAAAGGATCGAGAAGACTTAACTAAATAATCAAAAACAGTATTCTGTGTCCTAAGAACATAGAAGATCTTAAAATCAGGGAAGCAGATCCGCAGCGTCATGAGCTTTTCCAATTCCATTGAAAAGCTTGACCAATCTTGAGGATTTCTAAGCATCACTATCATCTCTTTGCAGTCCTTCCTAAAGCTCTTACATGGAGAATGTTGAAGCATATTCTCCATTGCCCACCGCAGTGCTTCCAGCTCAGAATGCAAAGCAGACTCCACCCTAGTAAAATTACGCATACCCATTAACTGACTATGTCCCATACTATCATTCCAAACCCAACCACATCTACTGAACTGAGATATAGAGGTCCAAGAACCGTCTACCATGCAAATGTTTCCCAGACTTATGGCATGGCTTTCAACATTTATGTTTCCTTGGGGTGTCGAAATAATCTGCTCATTTGCTTGGAACCAGGCTTGACATTCACTCTCTGCATAGCGGGCTAGCTCCAAAGGATCTCTATCAATTCCTCTGTATTAGCTTATCGTTTCGAGCCTTCCAAATTTACCATATTAGCCAGGGATAAGGATCCATGTCCAATTCCGGTTCTATTATGGCATTTTTCCTCCATAACAGATAGTCTATATTCGCATATATTCTCTGAAGTGGAAACAAAGTAGGGCTGGTAGGTGTAGATGATAGAGCCCAAACTTGCATTGCAGGTGGACACTGAAAGATGGCATGTGTAACTGATTCATCTGATTCCCCACATCGTGGGCAGTGATTATCACATCTCATATGTCTATGGTTCAAAGTACTTGTAACAGCCACATGACCTGTTATTATTTGCCACATAAAATGGCACATCTTCTGGGGTGCTTTTACCTTCCATGCATGTGCTTGGAGTTTTGTGATACTAGGTTCACAAACTACATCTTCCTCATTCTTCATCAATATGTTCCGTGCAACCCAATATCTAGATTTGACTGTGTACTGTCCATTTCTTGTATAGCTCCGGCAATACGTGTCCCTGCGATGTGTTGAACTAATAGCCATACTCCTTATCAGAGGTATGTCAGCACCAGCTACGTAGTTCTCCAGCCGCTCCACATCCCAAAACTTTGTTTCTAGCTTTTTTTTTTTTCACCTCATCATTCAACAAACATTTAACTTTTATACACTACATTGTTTTGTTTAATAAAAATCAACATCCTATTTTTATTAATTAATAATTAGTTATCTTATTTCCTGATTAAATAAATCTTATTTTTATTTATAAATAATTTTAAATTTTTTTATAAAAATAAAAATAAATTATTTAATTTATATGAGATATTGATTTGAAATAATTAGAAGGATATCAAAATATCAAAATTTCTAAAAAGTGACATGTGGCATCAATACTTTCCTTTTTTTTAGAACAATAAAAGAAACTAAGTAACTGGACCCAGTGGTTCGGAAAACCAAACCGGAGGGGTGCCTCAGTCCACAAAGCCCCTTCCACTTCTGTCATATGAAGAATTTCTTGAAGATTACCATTCTTATTCTTATAAATCTTGTCATTTCTATTTTTCCAAATATACCACAATATTCATGGAAAGTAACTAAAATCATCATCCTTCGGGAGGGAGCTTTCAAAAAAGATAGTCTAAATTAGTAAAAATCAAAGAAGTTGGAAAAATATCCGGTGGAGAAGGAATCCTGGATAACACCCATATTTGTAGTGTTGATGAACATTCAAAAAGTACATAATTAGTGGACTCTTCATCTGCCCCACAAATATTACACCTTAGATCACAATCGATCCCATGTGCCCTAATATTTTGCGCTACTGAACAAGATTTGCCACACAAAATGTCTCAGATTCGGAACATTTTAAATTCCAAAAAAAGCCAGCAGGGGTTTAAAAGTTGGCCCTAAGGTACTCACCCCGTGGTCTTTATGTGTACATAAAGCCAGCAGGGGTTCAACTTTGTTTTATTCAACATATTCAATCTTTTCAGCATTGGATAATAGATGGTTTAACACCCCAATTGTTAATGGTTTTAGTTCCTTAACAAAGAAATAATATATATATATATATATATATCCTAAAGAATCCAACTGCAATAATAGATGTAAATTTTACATTAAAAATATATATTATTTTCTGGAGAGGTAACTTTCGGTCACACAGAAAAACTAACATAATCAAGCTAAAACTATTTGGAGATGATTTTGTAAGATATAATACTCAAAAATTCATTAATAAATAAATTTAAATACTAAATTAACCATTCTAATTACTTACTAAATTTGAATATTATATTTTTGGCAAAAGACAATATATTCAACTATAATATTATTACTTACAAGTATGCCATTTTTTATTTTACAAAAAATCAATAGAAACAAATTTCAGAACTTTAAAATAGTTACGTTAAAACAAAATAAAGCCTTGGGGGCACAGACAATAACACCATAGAAGCCAAGAAAGAAGCCATGTTGAGGCACAGCACTTGTTTTTAGGATTATGATGAATCAGAAACATCTAAAGTTAATATGATATAATGAATATGTATTAATAATTATACATGTAAGTAAAAATTATATTAATATGATATGGTGAATAATATATTAATAATTTTCAACTATATTTAAAAGACTAAAGTTTCTTTGAGAATTGGAAGAAAACTGAGTAATGTTTTGTGTGTGTATAAATGATGCAGGTTTGAAGGGATCTCTTGGAACTCAGATGAGACTAGTTTTGATTCTGGAAACATGAGGCAGCAACATCTCTTTTGGAGGGGAGCATGTTCAGATTTAAGAGGTTCTAGAATATATTTTATATGTATATATATTTTTTAAGATGCCCAAATGGACCAATCAGTCCCTACATACAACCACCCATCTACCAGAATGATCAGCACCAACTACCTCATGAGCAAGATGGTGCAGAAAACTTTCATTCCAACTCAGCACATATATCTTTTAATTTTAAATTTTAGGATATATAGATATATATATATATATATAAATAAATATAAATTAAAAGAAAAATTAAGTGAATTGTTTTGTAAATATTTAGTAAATTATTAGTAAAACTTTAGTAATTTTTTATTCTATAGATTTTGTTACTTAATATATATATAATTTAATATACCCACATATATATACCTTTTTTTTTTCTTAAGCTGGTGTAAAACTATGGGTATTTATATGTTTGAAAATTTAACTAAAACTATTAACCGGTGTAAAAAGCAATTAGTTAAGTTTCCAAAATTATTAAGTTTACTCAAATTTATATTTCTTTGATAATGTTGAATATTAAATTTATCTAGAACATTTTCAGAAACTCTACCATCTTTCAATTTTTCCTGATATACATATCCGAACGCCCCTTTTCCGAGCAAATGGCTGAAGTCTCGTGTAGCTTCCCTAAGAAGTTCAAGTGAAAAAGCTTTGTTCTTAGACTCCAAAATCTCGTTCAGCTGAGTAGGTGACAATGCTATGTTCTGCTGAGAGTGAGGCACCATCTCTTTTGCACTAGATTCCCTACTATGTTCAGAACTAGTAATTAATTAATATTCACTAATAAAATTAAAATTTAAAATAAAAAAAAATATTTTTATTTAATACAAAATAAATTAAATCAGAAGTAAACATATTTTCATTTTCATTACTGTAAGATTGCATTCATTTAAACTAAAATAAGTGTCATATGAAATAAACCAATGTATAAATAAAATTCCACTCAATATTGACCTCAAGTAATATTTTATAATTGAGTTAAATCATATATCATTGCTTAATAATTTATAGCTCAAATACAAATAAATCATATATCACTAATATTTACTAAAATAAATTACTCACTTTTATTTATACAATAAACAGTTATTAATAACTCATGACAAAAATGTATAAAATTGGTTGAAAATTTGAAACTGAAATTATGTGATGTCTTTATGTGTAATTAAATATAAAAGGAATACAAGTTATATAATATCGTCATCTAACTTAACATAAAACTATCAAAAATCAAAGATTTTATTTTCAAAAATATATTAACAATTTATACTAAAAATAGAAAATACAAGCTTCGTAAATCTTAAGTTAGTTAAAATTGAGTAAAATATATATATATATATATATATATACCAAAATAAAATTGTTCACCTTTTATAAAATTTTGAAATTTGAACATCTTTCTACTAATGGCCATATCTTAAATTGTTAGATTCTTTAATATATTTGAGAAATTTGTTTTCTAGGTCTCACACTCATGATAATTTTTACGATGGTTAACTATAACAATATCTTTAATGAATCAAAATAATATATTTAATTACCATTATTAATTATTTATTTTTATTTAGGTTGTATTTTTCTTTATATATTTTAGAAGTAATTTAAAACGATGTTTTATGCATAATGTGGTTTCAATATATAATATTGACATTATATTAAGAAAATAATCTTTCCTTATAAAAAAATACTAAAAACGTAATATATATTTTAATTTTTCTTTATATCAATATTTCATATTAGTAAAAAAAATCAATTTAAATAACATAATCTGAAATATCTTTAGTGAACTAAAAATTTCATAGTTACTGTTATTTTTATTGAGATATTTGATTTATCTATTAATAATATGTATTGTTCAAATTGTTTTGGATTTACCTATTTTATATATTTTTAATAAAACTATATACATAAAAAATACTCTACCACCACTGGAGCTGCTTTTGTGGGCATTGACAAATAAACATGACTTGTCAAAATCACAATTTTGTATTTTGTAAAAAATGTTAAATAATATTCCTTTTAAAATTTATATTAAAGAATATAACTAATACTAGAAACGGAAATCAAGAATATATTTTTATTGTAAGCCTCTTTTGATCAACTAATTACAAATGACTTTTTAAATAACATAAGTCAAGACACGTTTAATGAATTAAAATATTATACTAACATTATTAAAAACTATTTAATATTTTTATTTTATTTATATATATATATATATATATTTTTGTATAATCCAACAAATTCTTATGTTTAAGATTATTTAATAAATTAATATTTATTAATTATTTTTATGAAATTTCAAAAGTTTAACGATTATGTTTGTTTATGTAAATTCATACTTATCATATTATTTTTTTTTGCCTATCAACACATATCAAATTATTTATAAATTAAAGTATACTTAAACATCTAAGATGATGAGCTAAATAATACGATGAATACATCTAGTTTGATTGAGCTGAATTAGATTAAAAATAAGTGTACTTCAATTGAAAATATATGTAACAGAATAAACATTCAAAATGAGTAAGTAGACCAATACAAATTCTTAAATCTAAAATAAAATATTTAACAACTACTAAAAATAATTATTTTTATACACATAAATTACAAAAACATATCAATAATTATATATATATATATATATATATATATATATATATATATATATATATATATATATATATATATATTAACCGGTTATTACAGGTTAGTTCTTTTATATATGAAAGAGGTTTCAAAAGATTTTTGTTGTTATATTCATTTATGTAACTTTGGATTAATCAAAATTTTAATTAACTTTTACTATTTGATTATCAAAACAACATGTATTCAATAACATTAATATTTCAAAACTAAGACAAAATCAAATTAAGTGCATATAAATTAAAAAAATATTTATAAATATAAAATAATTTTAAAATGGAAATAAAATATTAAAAAATTATATGTGCATGAGAATGGAAAATAATCTTTTTATTATAATATATCATTTTTTCTTGTTTTGAAGAAAATAAACAGTCAAGATAAATCAAAACTATTAAAATAGGAACACATTTTATCTACTTGCAAGTAGTCAATGTTGGACTATTACATTTATTTAATTTCCTTTTTATTCTTCTACAACTAACTTAATTATCATTTAAATGTATATTATGCTTAACCATTTATTTCAATATTTTCAAAATAAAATATCTAAGAAGCTTAAGTATCTTTTCCTAAGATTAGATTTTAATAATATCTTTTAATATCTTTTATTTAAAATTTAAATATACATATATTTTTAAAATTTATGTTTAAATAATAAAATTCATAATTAATATTAACTATAGTTAAAAATGAATACTAATTCATTTTTCATTTATATAATAAGAAATAAATTTATATACATTATTTATATTCATAATTAAATTACTACACCAAGTAATAAATATAAAGTAACTTAACAAGCTATATTCAAATTTTAGCGGTTTTTGCGGTATGAGTTTTTTTTATTTTAAAACCTAACCGGATTACATATAAAATCATCAGTTTTATCGGTTTAACTACAAGTCGGATCGAATTTCAGAACACTAAATATAATGCCTCATATTTAACATTTAAATGTAATTACATAATCAAAAATACAAATTTATATCATATAAATTTGGTTTGTTATGGAAATAATCCTGCGTTTTGAACCGTAGCCGAGTCCCAGGTTTTAGTAGGATTTTTGCGGGTTTTATATAATTTTAAAGTAATGAGCTTGTAAAACAAACAAACTGGGTTACATATAAAGTTATCATTTTTGTCGGTTTAACTATGGGTCCGGGTCGTGTTTCAAAACACTGAATATAACGCTTCATGTGTAACATTTAAATGTAGATACATATTCAAACATACAAATACATATAATATAAATTTAGTTTATAAAATTTTTAAATAACGAGTTTTCTCTTTAAAACCAAACTGGGTTACATATAAAGTTATGATGTTTGTCGGTTTAATTACGGGCCCGGATCGTGTTTCAGATCACTGAATATAATCCTTCATGTTTAATATTTAAATGTAGATACATAAAAAAATACAAATTTATATCATATAAATTTGATTTGTTTTGCAAATAATCATGCGCTTTGAACCGGTAGACGAGTCTCAGGTTTTAGCGGATTTTTTATGGGTTTTCTAGAATTTTAAATAATGAGCTTTTAAAAAAAAATCAAACTGGTTACATATAAAATTATTGGTTCTATCGGTTTAACCACGGATCTGGATCTTGTTTCAAAACACTAAATATAACGGTCATGTGTAACATTAAATGTAGATACATATTCAAATATGCAAATTTATATCATAGAAATTTGGTTTGTTTTGAAAATAATCCGGCACTTTGAAAGCGCGGGTCAAAATTTAGTTTAATCTATTAATTTAGACTCCTAATTTTTATCTACTACTTAAAGTTGTGTTTTAAAATGTGGACAATTTCAAGTTTGTTCGTAGGCTGCTTAATATTATGGACCATTTTATCTACAATTTGAAGTTGTATTTTATTATAACAAAATCTTGAAAAAATCTAACAAAATCTTATTAAAATTTTAAATATTGTATACAATAATACAATAAATAATTCCGTATTAATATAATACTATTACTCACTAATACTAATTGAACTTAGGACATAGACAACTACGATAGTAGGTTATTTGCATGAACCATACTCTGATTGAGCTAGGATTGTTAGATACATGCGAGTGCTGGCCGACCAATTTTAGTGGATTATCAACTCGCCATAACCGTCGATCGATATTGGTGTTCCACCGTCGATCAACAATCATATTTGTAGGCGATTGATTCCTTGTGTATTAGCTTTCATTGCACCTATCTATTATAATCCACGTTCATAAATCCTAGATTTAGCTATTTTTTATATTTGCATTAATTTAAATCTAACCAATTTCCTTTTTATTTAAACTTGAAAATTCATATAATAATTTCACCTAGTTTAACTATTAGGATCTTACAAATCTATTGTGTGTTTCCGCTCTCTTTGGATTTGATCCTTAAATACTTCAATTGATCTTTCTTAGCAATAGTAGTTATAAGTTGAGTTTCATAGTGTAATTTGATAAAGTGTATTATGAAATTATAAACCCTAAAACGCAACCCCGTCAAATTGGAAATATATCTGGTGCGATAGAACCTTCAAAAGTGCCTAAAATTACACTGTCAGAAACCATTCAGAAAATACATGATTTATGATTTTGTTTTATTTCTCCACATCTGTTACAATATATCTCCCTTGACTCCCTCTTATTTTCAGAAATTGTTTTTTCTTTTTTGGACAAAAAGAATTTTTATAAATCACTAGACTCATCCATGGAGTAATTGTTCAAAGTAGATGACAACAACGCCAAAACGGCTAAACAAACCGCTATAACAGAGCAGAGAACAAACATACAAAGGATAGGAGCAATTATCATACCTAAGTAACTAAAGTCATAGAGGAGTCCTCTAACCTCGACGTCAAAATTACTAAGGCTTGAAATGCTGGAATGAGATTTAGATAGCACACTGAGTGGTCTATAACCCGAGATTGAAACAACAACAGGTGTTGAGTGAACAATCAGTAAAACGGCTGTTAATGCATTGGTGACATGGCACCAATTTGCTAAGCCTTTACGAAGACGAGACAACACTTCCTGCAACACAACCACTAAACAGAAGTGGAAAGTAGTGGGTCGAGTCCGTATCGCCGTGGAGCAACAGCCGCGTCTGGATCAGATCTATCTACTTGGCAATTCATCCGGTGTATGCCCAGCGCTCGGAGGATCTGTTAAGAGTGGTCCTCTATTCAGTCCTTTTCCTTCTTAGTGAGCTTTCTCTCTTCGGGACACAGAACTCCCGGAACTCTCGGGTAGGGCGCTTGCTCTCCTCTTGGCAGCCTTCTTCGTCAGCCTTTACCTAACCAACTACCTAATACTACGCAGGCTCAGACATAACAAACTTCCCCCTCTTTCTGGGCGCCCCTGCTTTAGCTGCACTTGCAGAGGTAGCTACAGTCGCGAGCAGGTCCTTGCTCGTTGCTAACTTGTCTTTCAAAGTTGCCCTGGTGTATATACCGGAGTACTTCGAGGTACGCCAGTAGGCCGCCTATTAGTGTCATCTAAGTCATACAAGTAAAGACATCTATTCATTGATAAGAAAAAACAAAAACGTAAGCGGTGATTGGATTGATGATAAAACGGAGTTGGCTTTTCCCGTTGGTCAAGCAGGCTTCGCTCCTTGTGATTCATCTCTTATTAATTTTGTCTTTTCCATTCACTCCGATTTCTTCCATTTCATCGACGTCATCCTCACCTTCCTCCGGCTTATCAGCAAAAAGGAGATGGCTTTAGTTTCATACTAATCTTCGATCTTCGAGATTCCCGCCTCTAGGGATTAGTGCGTGAGACCGCGATCCACAAACTGACGCATGTCAAGCCAGAAAGGAAAGAAAAAGTCTATATCTTCTGTCCTCTCTATTACTTGCTCCAGGTATTACACTCGTTGGGCTCAAGGTGACTTGCTCCCTCGCTGTGATCGAATAATTGATAACGAGTAGGACCAAATAATTTGATGGGAAGTGCGTTCTATTATTGCCTCTTATTCCCGAGGGAGTGGTCGTAATTAAGCCGCATGGCAATACCCGCCAGAAGGGAATGACCAACCAAGCGAGCAGAGCCCAACTACCAATCCTAAAGGGAAGAATGAAAACATGTTCCACAAAGGAAAATGTCGAGAGAACAACAACACTCAACCGCTGAGTGGACACCTCAAGGACTAATTCTTCAACCTGCCACAAAGGAAGAGACAGCCACCTGATAACATCAAAGTCCAGAATTAATAGTAGTAGAGGTCTGCATACTGCGGTAAAAGGTTCCACATGGACAACAAGTGTGTCACCAATGTATCCACAAGTCGAATCAACGCAACAAGGAGAAATCACTAGGACTAGGAGATGATAGCTCAAGTCTAAAGACATGGGAAGCATAGATACGGTGGAACATGATAAGGCTGAGAACACAGATCTGTCGAGACAGAATGGTGTACTTAAAGAGTCAACCATAACCATCGGAGATAGAAGCTCACATGAATAAATACTTATTAAGCTCTCAATAACCTGTCGAGGCAGAAATTTTTTTTTTAATAGTTGTATATCCTGATATTAGTTGTCAGAAAGAAAGTTTTATTTTTGTGGGACATCTTACTTTTCAACAATGTGTCTATACATTGAGAGCATTTTTTTTCTGTCAGGATAAATTGGTTCCATTTGTTATCCAAATTTCACTGTGTATGATGCTACATTTTCAAACCTTGGACGAGAATCTAGTGTAGCTACTAAAACTTGAAAACTAAAATAGGAATGGAAAAGCAATTTTTGAAAATAAAAATAACACCAGAATACTTTTCGTAGTTTAATCTTGTTCTGTTCTCAAACGGAAAGACGAAATAGAATCCTACCAGTGATCTGTGTTTCTGTACATTCGAAGGCAAAATATACCAAAGGTTTCACATCATTCAACAAGCAAGAATCAGCCTTCATTTTTTCTTGGCATCGATAAACATAGCGCGAGTCCAGTGTTCAACATCCTCGGACTGTGATGGCGGTGGAGGGTACTTTGGATGCTCCACCAAATCCCATCCGTTCATATCGTTGTGCTTACGAATATTTGATGATTCAGTTGCAGGGTTATAACTTGCGTTCCTCTGGGAGAAAAATATTAGTGTTTAGAGGTTTCACTAGAACGAAATGAAACAAAGCACGCTAACTGAAACATCAATAGGTGCAGACATAAGTTCCCAATTCATCCAAGTAAGCAGAATAAACCCATCAACATTTTTCAGAATTTCACCATTTCTAAGGGGATAGGATTAAACCTCTAATGTGTACTATTGTTCTTGATCATGTTTGGGGTTTTTATAATGCGAAAAAGAGGAATCAAAGTGTACCGGAAGATGGGCACTTTCAAGTATGGAGCTTGAGATGACAGAGTGAGCGTTCCAAATGGATTTGTTGAGTTGTTGAGCCTGCTTGCATGATCTGCAACATCACAACACAAAACAATAAATAAACATATTTGTGAAAAGGACTTTCTCAAAAGATGTGCGCTGAGCTGAGCGTAAGAATGGTTTTCACCTTGAAGAAGCCATTTTGAGCGAGAAAACAGACCGGACTTCCTTTGATGACGAAAGTGTGGCCAATAACTTGGCAAATGCTTCAAAAGTAGAAGCCTCGGGAGGTACTTCGAGGTGAAGAGAATTGTAACAATAAGCTGTCAAGCAAGCAACGCTTTTCTTAAGAAGAGCTATCCCTTTCTGCAGATCTCTGTGTGACTCCACCGAATGAGGAGAAGCAGAGGAGTAATTAAAGCTGTTGTTGCTTCCTGTAGAGTCCAAACGTGCTTCTTTTCTAACGGATTCCATGGACGCAACACCAAAATTGCTAGAGTTCTTATCTGTCCATGAGTTTTCAACGCTGGTTGAACAGTAGTTTTGGCGGGGTATGAAGAGAGGATACTCGTTGCTGCAACAGAACAATGCATTGTTTAGTTATTCATTATTGTAAAATGAGATATCTCCAAATAGGGGAAGAGATTGTACCTTCGGGTACAAGGACGTGCGTCCCAATAGGAGTTCCGTTGCCATATTCGCGAGCAAGAGCCCTGTGTGGTGAAAACCATTGAACTTTTGAGTGCTGAGTTTTCCAATCGCAATGCAAAGTTAAATGAAGATAAACAAACATACCGCAAAACCTGAGCTGTGGAGTGCAGGAGCGGCTAAGTTGTGAGCAACAAGGTTCAGAAGCTGGACCATCAACCTACACCACATGTCAGAGAATGTATGTATCACAAGCAATGTCTATATCCTTAAAAAGAAAGAATAAAAAGCAATTACCCTAACGACGCAGCAAGCTCTTCAGATGGGATGGAGTGAGGGTCAAGACCTTTGGGAAGACGTGAATTGCAAATGAGATCATACTCTCCGACGTCTCCGTCGAAACTAGCTCGGCGTATAGGGAACAGTTTGCATATTTGCTTCACAACCACTGACTGTTTATGAAGCCGCTCAGACGAAATTGCCATCTGCAATTACGAAAAAAGAAACAAATCTTTACATGAACCACTCGAGAGCACACAATATTAGCTCCTTACATGGCCAAGGCTCTGAGTGCATATTAGATTAGGAAAATACTTCTCCACTTGCTCAACTCTAATTTTCTCCAGCTGCAAAAAAAAAAAAAGAGAGTCCATACTTCAGTAAAACAGTATCAAAACCTTATACTTAAGATTCACAAAGCTTGATTTTTCTTACTGTGGAGCGAGCAGAATCAAGAACCCCATATCTGAGTTTGAGATCACGAGATTCTCTTTCAATCTTAGCCTTCCCTGTGAATATTACAATTACATAATATTACTTGTTGTGTTATTTTGTTGACTAAAGCATACCTTGAGTTATATCTTCTTTATTGCGCTGAATAATATTTTTCAAGTTTGAAAGCTTGTCGTTTTGAAGGAGTCTCCACTTCTTCTGAGCATCAGCTTTTCCCTAAGAAAGTTAACTATGAGTAAAAGAAGAAAAGAGATAAACAGCCTGAGAGATATCTCCTCGCGACACGAACCTTTGCTTCCAATAGCTCACTTAGTTTTGAATACAAAGAATCTCGTCGAGTCTTTAGTGACTTCAACGATGTGTTAAACTCAATCAATCTGTTCAAAAAAAAAAGAAAAAAAAAAGAAAAGAATTAAACTACGGAAAAGCTCAAATTGCGTGGAGGAATCGATGTTACCTATGGTTAACGCAAGCGCTACAGATAGAAGCTCGATTCGTATTCTCGCAGATTGAGCAATTACTACTGGGTCGTTTTATCATCGTCTAAACCTAAGAATATTTCCAATTATAGAGAGCGAATTTGAGGCTTTGGAGAAAACCGGAGTAAGCTTGGACGGTCGGTCACGGTAGAAAGATTCCGGGGAGAATCAGGGGCGTTTCATGGGCAGAGTCGGGGAGAGGAACAATGAACAATTGGTGGGTAACGTCGTCGGGAGAGATGCAGATTGTAGACTCTTCAATTTTTTCAAGGTAAATGAAAAAAATAAAAAAATAAATTACCAATTTTACGTAATATCCAAATTTGAATCTTTTTTTACGAACAACTGATTGTTTTTAAGAAAAAAAGAAAAACAAAAGACTACGGCAAATATAATTGGAGAGCAACTCGACAGCAAATGGAAAGACGAGAATAACTAAAACATAATATATAGATTGAGATGGTGATGCAAATATCTTTATTCTTCATTAATTTATTTAGATAATTATTTTTTATTTCCATTTTTCATATATTAATAGTTTTCATATTTCAATAAAGATTAGAGTTTTCTAAATTTAAGATTTTATTATAAATACGTATTCACGCCCATAATTGTATTCAAATTTGATTAATAATGAGTTTTAGTTTTTGGGAGAATAGTATTCTCTGTTTATTTATATTGATTTGATTAGATTCATCCATCAAGAAGCGGGTCTCAAGTGACGATTCTCTATAATTCTTTGGTTGAGCTGGCAGGTCCCAAGTGTGGTTCCATAACCCCTTGGTTGAGCTGTGTTTATCGTTGCTTCCGTTACATCATATTGTTAAGAAGAGAAAAAATCCATGGAAAAAATTTCACTTATAGTTTTAAAGCCCCGCATTTGAAAGAACACATTGAAGTCGAAATCGATGTTGAAAAATCTAACAAATGAATTTTGAGAACAGTTGAATTGTCTCTACAAATGTTTGAGTCATTGGAGAAGGAGTGACGTATTGAGGCCTAGCATGCGTGAATTTGAAGATAAATTTCCGGTTGAACATAGCAATGGTTGCTGGAGACACGAGTCTGGCCCGAGATGAAGACGGATCTGATCGTATTCAAGCATCTCGTCGATATCCGAGAGCCTTCATAGAAGATAGCAGTTCCGGTGGGAGGGTTGCAAAGTCGACTCTATGAAGAACCGTTGATGCTTGAGACGGTGTAATGTGATGGAGGTGATGCGATGACATAGTAGCAATCATATCTGGCGCATCCACAATCTTGCACAGTAGTTCTGTCCACGAGGAAAAAGGTGGGAGGGCCGTAAAGCTGATAATTTGAAGAACCGTTGATGCTTAAGACGGTGTAATGTGTTGCAGACACAACAATGATGTAATAATGAGAAAATCTGGCGAGTCCATACTCTTGCACAGTAGATCCAGCAACAAGGAAGGGGGTAAACAAGACGGAAAGAGAGGTGAGAAAGGTGGTGACGTCGAGAGGAGCATGAGAGATATGTTCTTGATGATATTCCAAGAGGGGGCGGGAGCTGGGTTCAAGCCGAGCAAATTGGATTCCGGTAAATATTACCGTATCACGACTCATAGCTCTCAACAAACCCTAGGCTGAGCCATAACCCCAATACAACAAACTGAAGGACCATATTAAGAGATCTATCGATTTGAAACCCTCAGTGAAGATTCTTGAATAAGTGTTCGAGATTTGGAGTTGATGAACTGACGAGACGTTTTAGTGGAGAGGAGGCTTGTTGACAGCTGTTTAGATCCGGCGAGGGTGAAAGGCGGAGCAGAAGAGGCTCAGGTCAGGAACCAAGCAGAAACTTAGTGAGTACGAATTGTCAAATATTTTGCCTATATTATGTTACAAATGTCAAGGCTTTACGTATTGTCTTCAAAATGGATCCCATAACCATTAATGCTTACTGTAAAATTTGTCAAATATTTTGCCTATATAAGAAGTTATAGTACAAGTAGTTTATCGTGCCTCTTCTGAACTATATTAATAACATTTTCCTCTTTTCTACACTTGGTATTTTTTTTTATTGTTTCTTCTTTATTTACGAATACAATATAAATGATACATATATGTATAAACTTAGCATAAGCAAAATAATATAATGTAATCATAACACGTTATCATCATGATCACTCTATTACTAAGTTTATTATTTTGATTATAATGTTTGGAGCGGGGCTTCCATTTATTCTTTTACGTTTACAGTTACTGGAGTGCGGCACTGCCACCCCATTATTTATTTGTTAGTTTTATTGTTATCGGAGTGCAGCCACGCCCTACCTTTTATTATTAATTTTTATAATAGTTGTTTAAGACACCATAATGACTAGTTAATCGCCTAAACACTTAATTTATTATTTTATGATAGATTATTTTATTATCATCATAATTTTCTATTTATATTATGATTCATTTAACACCTTAATTTATTTATTTTTAAATATGATTTGGTTAATTATATCACCTTTTATAATTAAAAATATGTTAAGAAGGAAAGTATATTAATGATTTTGTTTAAACTGATAAAATTTAATCGTATGGTAATAACTTTTTTTAAATTAATTTTCACATTATGTTTTTACTTCCAACAGTCACACACACACACACACACACACACACACATATATATATATATATTAAAAAATATAAATTAATTACTTTTAAATGGCTAGTTAACCGCTAATGAATATTATTTTTAAAATCTATAAATAGACTTACAATTCATTCATTTCTTTTCACATATCTTCAAAATCCTATTCTACAAAACTTTTATTTTCATCAGAAAAATGTTTAATCTGTTGTTAGTTTTTGTAATTGTTTTTTTCTTGGTTGCTTTCTATGATTTACTCGTTGGAGAATTCTCTCCTCGAAAAAAATGTGTTTGTCTCATTTGATGTTGTATGCATTTTTATTTCTTGTAATCGTACTACTTATCGTGCACCTTGATTATTTTAATAAAAGAATATTTCTGATTATGTTCTTTATTATTATTTAATTTAGAAATTGTAAAAATCTAGAAGCTTCAATTTCCCTCTCTAGACATAACTTGTACAAACTGCATTTCTTGAGCTTTTGGTTTATCAGAAATCGTTAAAGAGAATAATACTACAACGCCTCAAGAAAAGGCTAAATCGGTGATCTTCCTTAAATGACACATTGATGAAAGTATCATTTATGACTACACCAACATGAGAGATTCTAAAGAGTTATGGAAATCTCTGAAAGATCGTTTTGATCATCAAAAAGACATAACACTTCCACTCGCTTAGGTTGAATGGCAGATTCTGAGATTTTGACAAAGTGATGAATTACAATTCTAATGTGTTAGGAATTGTGGCTAAATTGAAATATTCTGGTGAAATGATCATCAAATCTCAAATGCTTGAGAAGACATACACCACATTCCACAAAATCCACACGTCACCCTACAACAACAGTATAGGTTGCAGGGATATACCAAATTTTCAGATTTGATCGTGGCGCTTCTCAGAGCAGGAAAGAATAACGAGTCTCTGATCAAGAATCTCATGACTCGTCCAACTGGTTCCAAAGTTTTTCCCGAAGCAAATACATTAGATGCGAAGAAACCAGTGAAAGAAAATAAGGTTTTTTCGTGGTCGTGGTCGTCAAAACTACCATGAACGTGGATAAAGTATAATCCACGGGATGGAAAGTCATTCCAATGGGTCCGCTCTGAGAAATCCCCTATGGAAAAAGAACACCAAGGAAATACTTCCCAGAAATGAGAAGATGCTTGTTCAGATGCAATACTAAGGGACATTGGTATCGTGTATGTCGTACCCCTGCACATCTGTGTTCTCTATACAAAGATTCCGTCAAAAGAAAAGGTAAAGCTGTAAACTTTACGGAACACTCTGAGGGTACAACACACCTCAATACGTCTAACTTTATGAATGATTTCAAGGAGACCGCTATCACGAAAGATTAAGTATCCATCATGTGACTCTTGAAATTCTACAATTATACCATAAATAATGTTGTTTGTGAAAGATTAATGGATAGTTATTGTGTGATTTTCACCTGTTTATGTATAATTACTTTGTGTTTGATGTTTGCTAATTATTTATAATATTTTATGAATAATATTACCTTATCTCTACTAATTCTTTTGTTTGTCTCCGAAATGGACGTTACAAATGGAGCATCAACCAAGATCAATGCTAAAGGTATTTGTATACCAGATAGTGAAACAATGCACACTATTTTGAAACACATAAGATAGTTTTCTGAATTTTTTTATTCTGAACTTAAACCAACAAATATCATTGTTAACACAATATCAGGTCATGTAGACTTGATTGAAGGGATTGGCAAAGTCCATTTCACATTACCTAATGGGAAAAAATTCTCGATAAATAATGTTCTTTTCTCCAAATTCTAAACAAAATTTGTTGAGATTTAAAGATATATATTTTCAAGGATTTGATACTCAATTTATAACTGAGGATGAAAAGAAGTATATGTATATTACTCTTGAGAAATCGGGAAAGCAAAAAGTGTTGGAAAAACTACCAAAATTCCCTTCAGGTCTGCATTAAACATATATAAATGCCGTTGAGTCACATTTGGTGATTAAATGAAATTCTGACGATTTTACACTATGACATGATCGTCTTGGCCATCCAAGCACTACAAGGATGCGAAAGATCATCGATAATTCACATGGTCATTCACTAAAACTCCAAGAAGTTTATTAGGGGAATAAAATGGCATGTACTGCGTGTTCTCTGGGAAAGTTGATTATAAGCCCATTGGCAACCAAAATAGATAAAGAGTTACCAAAGTTTCTTAAACGAATTCATGGCGATATTTGTGGACCTATACATCCACCTTGTGGACCATTCTATTATTTTATGGTAATGATCGACGCGTCGAGTTGCTGGTCTCACGTTTGTCTATTGTCCTTTTGAAATGTAGCATTTGTGAGATTTTTATCTCAGATAATCAAATTAAGAGCTCAGTTTCCTGATTATCTAATAAAAATAGTCAAACTAGATAACACTGGTGAATTTACTTCCCAAGCATTCAATGACTATTTTATGGTAACTGGAATTGATGTGGAACATCATGTTGCTCATTTTCATACACAAAATGGTTTGGCTGGATCATTAATTAAACGTCTACAACTGATTGCATGACCATTTATCATGAGATCTAAACTCCCAATCTCTGTGTGGGGACATGTTGTTTTGCATGCAGAAGCATTAATTCGAGTGAGACCAAGTGCATATCACAAATTCTCTCCAATACAGTTAGCATTTGGATGTGAATCAAATATTTCTCATCTAAGAATTTTTGGTTGCGCTGTATATGTGCCAATTGCACCTCCCCAACGTACAAAGATGGGACCTCAAATATGTAAGGGATATATGTTGGTTGTGATTCTC